TGCATCTGCCAAACCCAAAACAAAAACAAACACTGTTTAATGTGGGATCTTCTTTGGCCCTCCTGAACCCCTTCAACCTTTCAGTTCACAGGAATCAACAACGATCAAAATATTAACCCTAGCACTAGAAGGGAAAGGAGATCGAAAGAACACAGATCCTTTCACTTCTTTATCTTAACTACGGAGACACTGAGTGTCTAGCGGCCAACCGCATTCTTCGATCAACTGTTTTTCATTCACCACTCCTGAGCCTTGCAGACACTCGAACAATCTCGCTCAACATCAACAATTATGCACAGTGACGACGACGAGGTCTCGTCACACTTTAGTGATGAAGGCAGCGATGGCGGCTTCTCACCGGAGCCTGTGGTAAGTCTTCCATGGCCCGCATTACTCGTATGCTAAGAGTTTTTTTACCATAGAAGAGGAAGCCTGCGGCAAAGAAAGCCGCAGCGCCCAAAAAAACTGCAGCACCCAAAAAGACTACTGCAGCAGCCAAACCGAAAGCAACCTCAAAGAAGCGCGCTGTTCCATCTGACGATGAAGATGACGGTAACCTAGCGGATACACCACCGATGGCAAAGCAACAAAAGAAGGCACCTGCCCCTAAGAGGGCGAAAACTTCGGCAAAGCCGCTCCAGTCTAAGCAAAACGAATCAGAGTTAGATGGGGATGATGATGACTTTGGGGAAGGATCAGGTTCTTCAAAGGAAAAGAAGAGCTTTGCGGATGCGTACCAAAAGGTTCAACTCATTCCCGAGGCTCCTATCTACTAAAGTGAGCAGTTTGGGCTAATCGCTCTCGTCACAGCTTACTCAATTGGAGCATATCCTCAAACGTCCCGATACTTACGTCGGGTCTGTGGAACGATCAGAGCGACACATGTGGGTTTTCGACTCGGGTACGACTTCGATGGTTTGGAAGCCCGTTACTATGGTTCCTGGCCTGTATAAGATTTTCGACGAAATTTTGGTCAATGCGGCGGACAATAAAATTCGTGACCCTAAGATGGACACTCTCAAGGTTACTGTTGACAAAGCGACCAATACAATTTCCGTTTATAATAACGGGAGAGGTATTCCGATTGAGATACACTCGGTAAGTCATCTGTCTGATTGTTTCATCTTAGGTTAGGGCATCTTTTACTTACAACTGAATAGAAGGAGAAAGTTTATGTTCCCGAGTTGATCTTTGGCCACCTTCTTACCTCTTCCAACTATGACGATGACGAGAAAAAGGTTACCGGTGGTCGTAATGGCTATGGTGCAAAGCTCTGTAATATCTTCAGTACTGAATTCACGGTTGAGACTGGCGATAAGAATACCAAGCAAAAGTACAAGCAGACCTGGACGGACAACATGGGCAAGATGGGAAAGGCGAAAATCACCGCGAACCCCAAGGGAGAGCAGTTTACGAAGATTACATTCAAACCCGACCTTGCCAAGTTTCACATGGAGGAGATGGATGATGATTTCGAAGCTCTTGTCAAGAGAAGGGTTTACGATATGGCTGGTAAGCTCGGTTTTCTTGAAGAATGAAGAATGCGGAATGTTTCATGCTGACAATTGGCCTCAGCTTCTGTAAAAGACGTAAAAGTCTTCTTGAACGGGGAGCGGATAAAGCTGAACTTCAGGAAGTACTGTGAGATGTATGTCAATGCACTACATGAAGAAGCTGGTTGCGAAGAAAAACTTGTGATTACTTGGGAAGTCGTGAACGATCGCTGGGAGGTAGCCTTCGCTGCTAGCGGTGGTAACTTCCAACAGGTATCATTTGTCAATAGTATCGCTACGACATCCGGAGGAACCCATGTGAATTACATTGCAGATCAACTTTGTACCCACCTCCAGGGAGCTCTAAAGAAGCAGAACAAATCTGGAGCCGCTGTCAAAAACGCTCAGATGCGCAATCATTTCTTCATATTCGTCAACTGCTTGATCGAGAATCCAGCATTCACCTCGCAAACCAAGGAACAGCTAACTACTAGAGCTGGTGCGTTTGGTAGCAAATGTGCATTGAGCGACACGTTCATTAAAAATATTTTGAAGAATACTCCAGTTATCTCGAACATCATCGACTATGCCAATATGAAGGCTGATAAACAATTGAAAAAAACGGATGGGTCGAGACGCTCTAGGTGAGTCTTAGGATATTACTTGGCGGCTACGAGTGTGCTGACGGTTTCTAGAATCAATAATCCGAAACTTATCGATGCCAATAGAGCTGGAACCAAGGACTCCCAAGAATGCGTGCTTATTCTGACTGAAGGAGATTCAGCCAGATCACTTGCTGTTGCTGGTATATCTGCAATCGATGGGCGGGACAGGTTTGGCGTTTTCCCCTTGCGCGGAAAACTTCTTAATGTTCGAGACGCCTCTCATGACCAAATAATGAAGAATGCGGAAATTCAAAACATTAAACAGATTCTGGGGCTGCAACATAAGAAGGTTTACGAATCAAGGAAAGAGTTGAGATATGGTCATCTCATGATCATGACGGATCAGGATTATGACGGAAGTCATATCAAAGGATTACTTATCAACTTCTTCGAGACTCAATTCCCTAGTTTGCTCAAGTTGCCCAACTTTCTGATCGAATTTATCACACCTATTGTGAAGGTGTTCAAGGGTGGTGTCAAAAAGCCAACAAAGGAGATTAGTTTCTTTACCATGCCGGAGTATGAGTATTGGAAAGAGAACAACGCTGAAAAGGGATGGGAACATAAGTACTACAAGGTGAGTTTTTCTCTAACACCTGGAGAGTAGCGTATGTATGCTAAAATCATCACTAGGGTTTGGGCACCTCGGGTGAACGGGATGCAAAATTATACTTTTCAGATCTGGAGAGACATGTCAAGGAGTTCCACGTGATGGAGGCGGAAGGCCAGCGACTGATCGAACTCGCATTTTCCAAGAAGAAGGCGGATGAGCGGAAAGAATGGCTCCGACTCTACAAGCCTGGAACTTACCTTGATCACTCCATCGATAAGATTTCATATCCGGAGTTCGTTAATAAAGAGCTGATCCTCTTCAGTATGGCGGACAACATCCGGTCCATTCCCTCGGTTGTGGACGGCCTTAAACCTGGTCAACGCAAAATTCTCTTTGCTTGTTTCAAGAGAAAGCTTACAAAACAGCTCAAAGTTTCGGAATTGTCTGGATTCGTTTCCGAGTGTACAGCCTACCAGCATGGTGAAAGCTCTCTCCAAGTGACAATTACTGGTATGGCGCAAACATTTGTTGGAAGCAACAATGTCAATCTCTTGGAGCCCGAAGGGTCTTTCGGTACCCGTCTTGATGGTGGAAAGGATGCAGCCAGCCCTCGATATATTTATACCCTATTGTCACCTTTTGCCAGGAAGTTATTCCCAGCTACCGATGATCCCCTGTTGACGTATAATCTGGACGATGACAAGAAAATTGAGCCTATGTGGTACGCCCCTGTTGTTCCTTTGGTTTTGATCAACGGAGCCGATGGTATTGGCACAGGTATGTTTGAAGTAGCATCTACATCTAGCATTATTGGCGTTGCTTACACGAGTAATAGGGTGGAGTACCACTATACCAAATTACAATCCGGAAGATGTGGTTGCCAACATCAGGCGTTTGATGAACAACGAGGAACTAGAACCAATGACTCCATGGTATCGCGATTGGGCAGGCAAGGTCGAGCAGGTCGCTGTGGACAAATTCAAATTCTCTGGGGTTATCAATCAGATTGATGGTGTTACTTGCGAAGTTCGGGAATTACCTATCAAGATGTGGACTCAAGAGTTCAAAGAAAAACTCGAAGAAATCATCAAGGGAGAGAAATCATTCGTCAAAGATTACGTTGATTACAACTCTCCTCGACGGGTCCATTTTATTATTACCATGGAGTCCGAAAAGCATATGCAGGAGGCGTTGGCGGAGGGGCTTGTGAACAGATTTAAGCTTACGAAAACTATAGCAACCAGCAACCTTGTGGCTTTTGATCCTGAGGGAAGAATTAATAAGTACGCTTCGGTCAATGATATTCTGAAGGAGTTTTATTATATTCGTTTGAAGTATTACCAGGAGCGCAAGGTATTACGAACCGTTACCCCTCTTGATCAGTTCTATTGCTAATATGTTTATAGGATAATATGCTTAAAGAGATGAGCAAACAATTGATGAAGTACACTAATCAGGCTCGCTTCGTCCAAATGATCATCAAGAAGGAGCTGGCAGTCTCAGGGCGTAAGCGTTCAGAGATTATCGAGGACCTTGTAAAGAAGAAGTTTGATAAAATTTCCAATAAGGCTGAAGCTCAGAAGGCTGGCGAGACTGAGGACACTGTTGAAGAAGAAGATTCAACTGTCGGGGATGGTTACAACTATCTATTGGGGGTTCGTACTGCATCATTCTGTGGTATATTTGTGCATGCTAACGGTTCCCTGATCAGATGGCCATCTGGTCTTTGACGCATGAAAAGGTCCAGAAGCTACTTCAGGATGTCGCTGACAAAGAGCTCGAGGTCGATGAACTCATCAAGAAGTCTCCGAAAGATTTGTGGAATACTGAGTTGGATGCCTTTATCGAAGAATGGAGGATACAGCTGGAAGAAGACAAAAAAGAGCAAGGCACCGTAGTCAAACGCAAGAAGAATGGCAAGTACGGCGCAAAGATTGCCAAGGGGAAGAAGAAAGCCGCTGGCAGTGACGAATCGGATTTCGAAGCTTCAAAACCAAAGAGAAAGCCAGCGGCTGCGAAGGTCAATACAGAGGCCAAGAAGCAGACTATACTGGGATTCAAGTCCATCGATCAACCTCCGGAGAAAGCCCCCGACAGGGGACCTATCGCACGAGCTGTGAAAAAAGAAGCAGTGGTAATCGGTGACCTGAGTGATTCAGATTTCGACATGCTCAACCGAGGATCTAAACTAGCGCCCTCCGCGAAACCTCCTATTAAAGCAACAAATGCCGGCGTGGAATCATCATCGGATCGAAAGCCTCAGCCAGACCCCGCAGGGGATAGTGAAGAGGAATTGCTTTCATTGGATGAGAAACCCTCTAAGAGACTGAAGGCTAAGGCGGCGCTGGCCAAGAAGCCTGCAGAAGATGAATCTGAGGCTGAATCTGAGAAGGAGGTTCTTGCAAAGAAAGCTGTGGCGAAAACTGCTCCGAAAGCCAGGGCCGCTGCTAAAACTGCTCCCAAAGCCAAACCGGTTGCTGCGGATGATTCTATTTTTGACCTGGATGTCTCAGACCCTCCACCCTTGAGGACCGCTGCGGCAAAGCCAAAACGAGCAGCGGCAAGAAAGCCTTCAATTCTAGATATTGCTGGCTCAGATGACTCCGACGGGGAGAATGGTCTCGGGGATGTCAGTGTTCTTGTTAAGGGTATCGGGAGTCAAGGTAGTGACACCGGTAGGCCTTTGTTTAGGGATTCTGCAAAGAAGGCATCTGGCACAGCCTTGAAAGGTGCAGCCGCTAAGAAGGTGGCCCCGAAGGGAGTTTCGAAGATCCCACTTAGTCTCAGCAAGGGCGCCGGCAACGAGTCTGAAAACTCGGACTCGGATGATGACGACATCCCTAAACCTGTCAAGAAAGCCCCGGCAAAGAAGGCCGCACCACCAGCGAGGGCTGCGCCGAAGAAGGCTCCAGAGCCCAAGAAGCCCGCTGCAAAAGCGGCGCCAAAAGCCGGGGCCAAGAAACCGTTTGTCTTGTCTGAGGATGAGGATGATATGGATGTGGACAAGATGGCGGACGAACTTCTGGATTCCGACGATCAAGAACTCTACTCTAAACCTTCGTCTAAGACTTCTAAAGCCGCAACCAAACCTTCAGCTAAACCAGCCCCGAAAGCAGCCGAACCAGAACCTCGTGGGAGGGCTGTAAGGGCTCGGAAACCTACAAATTACAGAATTGAGCCTTCTTCTGATGAAGAGGATGACGATGACGATGACGATGAAGGATCTGAGGATTATGGTGGGGATTCCGATTAGTCTATCTTGTAATGTTCTACTTTTCTTTTTACTTATTTTCCTTGGGGGGCTGGATGGGGGTGACCGGCGCATTTATGTGAGAGTTCAGGAAAAGAAGGTTTGGGGATTATGAAGGGGTGAAAAGCGGTGCCTTTGAACATTTTTATGTAGCATAGACTTTTGTGGAGAGAGTAAACAGCCCTTTCTTGCCCATAGAACATGAGAAGGGATTTTTATTGTTATGCGTTCTGCAAAGTTTATTACATGGTTACTCTCATTCTTATTGAGTAATTCGTTGCGCATTATTAATATTATTATAATCGTATGTCATCTCATTATCGTTCAATCGAGGCTAGAAGCGAGGGGGATAAATGACTTTGTGGTATAACACTGTAGCTTAACTGTTTCCACTTGTCTCTGTAGTGTCACCCTTGACCCCACGATGAGGAAAACAGCGTTCAGTCCGTCTCACCCTCGACAACTCAGGCGCCCTCCCCCCCTTTTTTTTCAATCTTTTAAAAAGCGGGGCTGTGCCGGTGGTGTTGGTTCTTGCCAAATACGCGGTGAGCAGTCGCTTTGTTCCCCTCAAACTGACACAATGTTACAGGGCATAAAAATGGTTCGGACCCGACTCTAGAATTTTCTGGTGATATCATACCCTGTTGATACTTTCCTTCCGTCTCTCGTATCTCACCTGTTAAGATCCTCTCGCAAACTTCCGTATTATTGCTTGCCGTGAGAGAAAATGGGTTTTGTGATGTCTACTGGGCTATGTGGTCCGGTAGCGGGCTGCAGGCTACCATGCTAATAAAAATGCAAGTGTGGAGCTTCGGAAGCAAGGAATTGAGAAATGGAGCAGCGCGGGCGCATAATCAACAAGTTGCCCCCCTACAGGTAAGAAGCCTAGATTAGAGTATGATACTGTTGGTATTTTTTATCATGGAGTTCATCTGCCATTAAATAAATCAAGTATGATATGACATGGTATGAGGCGAGGGAGGGATTTAGCCTTGTTGCTTATTTTTCGTCAATCCACCCTTGGGTCTAATTACTTTTTTTTCCCCTCCACTGATCTGGCGAGTGATGGCTTGTGGTTGAGTGTGTTGAGGTGGGGAGGGGGGTGGAATAATGTCGATATCAACCACAAGGGGAGCTGTAAAGTTTCCAGTGGAGCGTAACAACTTCGTTTACGTTTTTGTCTTTTCTCATCTCTATTATCCACCGTCGGTTGATCACTTTCCAAAAGGCAATTGAGATCGTGGTATGCAGAATGAAGGGAAAACTCGCTTCCAAGGAGTACAGTAAGAGAACTTGGGGTACAGGTATAAGGGGCGCCCTCCAAGCACATTGCTTGTATAGAAACATGGTTTTGTGGAGATATTAGGTATCATATAAACTAGTAACATGTTGAATAGATCAGGGCGGCGAACCTTGATGAGAATATCATCTTCTGTGTGAGTGCCCACCCGTATTCCGTAAATTATAGCTGAGTCTAAATTTGGGGGAAAACTTGGAGGATGAAAGAGGCTTGAAAAGCTCCGGGGCACGGTTTATAGAGGAGGGCACAAGACCCGATGATCCATGGAGGGATCAGGATTTATTGTTTATGCTTTACTTATACTGCTGTCTTTACTGATAGTTTAGAGAGTAGAGACAAACGAAGTTGTTTTACCTTACCTCTCATGCTTGTCCACGCACTGCTACCGTCCCCCAAATATTCACTTAGTCTTCTATCCACCGCTGCACGATCGGTCCTCCACTGCCGTCCCTATTAAGACTCAGACCGCAAGGGGAGAATATGGAAGAAAATATATATGGCGCCCAACGAGCGGTATCGCAAGTTCTGATTTGAGGAGTTTTTGGGAGCGGTTGGCTAAATACAATAGATCACGAGTCGAGCACAGATACTTACTGGTGGAAGGCCTTCTGAGGGGTGAGAGGCTCAGATGAGTTTGATGTGCTCACTGACGATCCATCTAGTCTACCTGATAACCGTTTTGTCGAGAGATGGGGCAGAGAGGCTCGCCTTTTTTCGGAACTCATGTAAGACCAATGGTTCAGCATTTCGTGGACACATTTTATACCTTGACTGTATCGTCAGCTCCCACGGCTAAGATGGTAAGGCGCGTCACTAGTACCGAGAACACATACGCTCATGACGAGATCGACGGTTAAAATCCGTTTCGGATCGTCAATTTTTTTCGCCCCCTTCCCATATCCTTCATTCCTTGAGGGATGGGTCGTAGAGGGTTCGTTCGCCGGAGGTTCCTTTAGCCCACTGACTCGGTCTGTCGGGGTGGGCTTGTATAGTAAGATTCCAGCTCGAGATTGTGCTTTAGCTGTTCACTCCCCGGGAGTTTGGGTTCCAGTAGTAAATGTACAGCACAAGATATCCTGTGGTTAACAGCATCGTAATAACCCCAGCCACCACCTATCTGAATCATGAAAGTGGCCAATCATCTCCTTATCATACATATACTTAGTAGCACTCAACCAAAGACCGACTGCCCTGCACCCTACTCGTTGTATCGTAAGTTAGTCAGTTGCTTTCTGTATCACATTTTGTGCGAGTTGTCCGTGCGGAAAGATGTTTACATCACAGAAATGGGCGATTGAGACTAACTAAAATCAATGGAGGAACACAAAACATTGGACCCCAAGACTTGGCGGAGCTTCAGGAACAAGGAGAAACACATCACAACCATGAGTGGAGTAGTATCGTGTCCCCAGCTTTGCGTGTTTACAAGGTAGCAAATATGTGGATCGTTTTTGTTTCCGGTCTTATGTATGAGCGCTCCGTTCTTTGTTGCAGGTGTGGAGAGTCATGTGTCGTGAATTCTCAGAGATCCCAAGTGGCCTGAATATCGACAGTCCCATCGGTCCAGCCACCATTCCAAAGATCCCGGATCGGCCCAGAACATGCTGTTTCCTGCCTCCAAAGCCTGGCGGCCCCCAGGCGATAATCGGGTCATTGTGTCGGGCAACCTGTGCCGAAGCCCGCTGATGCCGAGATAACCCCCGTGGCTGCATTGGCTCTAACTCTCTCCCAGAAATTGTTTAAAAAATGCCCTGTTGACGACGCCATTGGTGCTATAGAGTGCCCGAAGTGTCATGGGAAGAGCGGGTTTAAAAATATATGGTATGATAGAACTAGCGCATATGGATGGGCAGGGAGCTGGACAGCAGTCTATGATGATCCCAAGATCTATCCCGGCAGCTTTACCTTTGAATTGGCCCCCTGAGTTTTTTTTTCCCCTCTCCTGACTGACTGTATTCAGGGTTTTTTTTTTCTTCTCTGTCGGACCGTAATTAAATATAGTAGTTTTATGCTTTCTCTCGATCCCCGAGGTTTTCCATTTTCAGAGGATTTGGGAGGTGGAGGCCGCGAGACCAATCTGGCCGCGAGCGAACCTCCAATCACCAGTTCCAAATATTACCAAGTCAACCGATCAAACCTAGGAATCCGGGTGGGGAGGGAGAATGGTAAGGCGTTGGGGCATGATTGACCACCTTTCGAGCTCGGATCTCTCTCAAGATGGGCGACACACTGGGTCAGATTGAAGAGGGTATTACCATCTCGGGTTCATGGAGGGAAAGGAAGGAGTATGATAACCAGATTGATCCGGCAATTCAGGACACACACTCTCACTCGTGTTTTATCCTAACCTTTACCGTTGAGCATCATCCCCCAGTTCCAGGTCCGGATTCGCGGGAGTAGGATCGGTATTGCTGCGTTCCTCCCCGGCACATTGTGATCCCGGCCTTCGCTATTGATTGTGCCCAGCTTTCGGAGCTTCTCAATTCCTATAGCATACCCAATCAATTAAACATTCAATCGATCTATCGAGCTATCACTTATCCACTATTGTTCCGCTTTGCTTTTCGTCCCACCATCGTTACACCTCCCCCCCCCCACTTGTGCACCCGGGGGGAGGAACCAGAGCACAATCGGGCAAGGGCAGGGAGAGGCCGGTCAAATTGTCGGGAAACCTGAGTAGAGTAATAAGATAAGGTAATTATCCGAAGTGGTTAGAAATATATCATTATCTCATATCCTCAAGAGGCAGCTCTAGGTTTTCTAATATTTTTTGCGGCCGATAGCATTACAGAGAAAAAAAAAAAGCTGGAATTATGATACAAGGCGAATTGTTTAGCCCATGCGGGCTAGCTGGGGTGAAAACCAGTAAATCTTCCTCATTTTGGCGTGTAGCGTACCGTTTATCACACTTTGAGTAGCAGTTAGCCTCATTTGATAGCAGTAGCGTTGATGAAGCATTTTGTCTCGGTCGTTGGTATGATACAACTTATTAGGCTAGTCATTATGATACAAACAGTATGATATGATACCTGTATTGGTGAAAGTGTGAGATATCTGACTAAGCAGATTCACGAACAACCTTTTGCCTATGATAAGTAGGGAAATGTGCGCCTCCCCACGGCATCGGTTTACCTAAAGTGGGGGAATCATAGTCGGCGATAGACTTTGTAATATAGGTACAAAGCACCGGAATTTGACAGGATGCCGTACATACGTTCATCTTGCTTGAGTGGGCGGGAAAGAAGGAAGCGGTCGGGGGCGGAGAATTTGTCAGTGCTTAGATGTAACTTGGCAGACTAGCTATTGGATACCTTGTACTCATATACCGCCCTACTTGATGATACAAGATCGTACATTCAAGCCCACATCATACTAATTCCTTCATCTTCCTCTCCGCAAACCTCTACTTTACCATCCTTCTAGCCCCTAATAGCCTTCACCCTAGAACACAGCACACCAGCGAGGCTCGTGATCCCATCCTTCATCCTTCATCCCCATTCTCCGCCATGTGACGAAGCAAGTTCCTTATATACTCGACCCCTAGCACATCAACCTCGGACGTAGAACAATGTGACAAACCGCCCAAGCTACCGATCTTTGACACTGACGACGCCCCCGTCGGAAATGTCCAGACCCGTCGAGATTTTTTTTCACGGAAACATCTCTTACCCGCTGCACGTAGCTGTGTTATTGACGGGTTGGCATCTCGGGATCGCTCACCCATTGGCCTTTTTATCTCCCACGGTGTGGGGAGGAAGGGAGGAAGAATAACCGATTGAAGACCTTTGCCAAGGAGTACGATACCGTGAGTAAGCTACATATGCAACGTCGATCATGCAGGTGTTTTGCGGGGGCTCCTTTGAGGGATTGCTTGCTTGTTGCCGTTGTTCTTGTCTTGTGTTCGAGAGGTGGTTAGTCAAGTGTTCCCCTTCTTGATCTCTCCCCTTGTCCCTGATGGTGTCATCTCATTCACCTCGTGAGTTCCTTTCCTGTCTCTTGCCATGGGTGCTCG